GCAAAAAACTGAGTGAAAACCATAGGCATAATTCCACACGTTTCAAACATTAGTATATGATATATTGTTGTCACGACACATGCTGCAAGTTAACCCTGACCTCTGAACAACAATTTATCTTGTGAATCTACGAGTAAAGAAAGAGATGTTAAATCTGGTATTACTACTGATTCATCATCACACTTAAAATGAAAGTCAAACCGTTCGATCGCATTGCATCTTACATTTTGGCAAATGTAGTATGCCATCTGTGCACAGTATGCACACTGCAGCAGTACGATAACAAAGCACTGCTAAAATACTAGTGCAATTCTGTATCCCGTAATGCAGTGCTCTCAACATCCCATTTCCAGTGTGATAAACAAACAGAAATTTTTTGTTTTGATTTTGGAATTAAACCACACCATGCTGGTTTTGTCTGGCCAGAGGAGAACTGGCCCCCTGACTGAGCCTGGTTTCTCCCAAGGATTTTTCTCCATTTCTGTCACCGATGGAGTTTTGGTTCCTTGCCACTGTTACCTTTGGCTTACTTGGTTAGGGATGCTTGACTGGTTGCACAGACACTATTGGAAGAGTGTGGAACTGGATGATGACATCACTGAATCATCAATGAACTGACTTTAACTGGAAAAATGACTTTGTTATTGTCCTCTTCTTGCATTATTGACAAACTATTTTCCTGTTTGACACTGTAAAGCTGCTTTGACACAATCAGTATTGTAAAAAGCGCTATACAAATAAAGGTAAAATGAATACATTTATTTGATTGGACTGACAAGAGAAAGCTAACTGCAAAACAACAATCTGAAATGATGATAACATGCATCTAATTGAGGTCATGTGACCTAAATAACACACAAGCATACTAGTGCTTGAAATGTTTATCGCTGTGTAATGTGTAGTTTCATATAATGTTTTTTTTTAAAGTAGGCAGTAGTCAGTTTTTTGGGGAATACCACAAAAACTTTTTGTTTTTGAGTACAACATTTGAATCCACCCTAAAAACTGTTGAATCACATGACACACAGACACGCCTGTTGGAATAGCAGTACATTTTTCTCAGAGCTGTGAGAGTTTCAGTAAAGTGTACAGTACCGGTAATTGTCTGCAAGTGCGCGTGTGTATGTGAGGATTAGACCACAGGTAGAACATCCAAACAAAACAGACCTGTGATGCCATGCAAATGAGTTCCTAACATGTATATTAAAATAACTAATGTTACGTAACTGAATGCAAATGAATCATCTGCAGCTTGCAAAGAACATGTGAGTCAGTGTTTATAATGCTGATCCTGGATCAAACTGATATAATTACAATGAAGAGTGGATAAAGTCTATGGCACCGCTGCATGGTGGTTCTGCTCTGTTTGTTTTTGCACATTTCCATGATGACGGAGTGAGTCAGAATGCTGCACTCTGATTTGTCCGTTGACCTGCTAAACAGAGCTCTGCAGCCACGTGAGAATGTCTTGCTCTCAGTCTCACTCTCACACGTGAAATCCACTCGTTTCCTCATTTTTAACATTGTGTTAGTGTGTCGCTGTACATTTCTTTTCCTTTTTTCCAACATTTGTAAGTCGCTTTGGATAAAAGCGTCTGCTAAATGACTAAATGTAAATGTAAACATCCCTCTGTCTCTAGCTGTCCTGCTTCGAAGGAGCTCTGTTTATGTTAAACAGCATAATTTTCAAGTTGCTGTTTACTTTATGCCTTGTGCATTCATGTGAAGTTCTGCTCTTTGTGAATGTTTGTGCATTTCTGTTAATTGAGTAAAATGACCTCCCTTGGTAAATACATCTGCTGGGTGTGTATAGTCAAGATATAATGCCTTGTGTTTTAATGTTTTACACATTATGAATGTGTGTTTGTGTGTATCTGTGTGCAAGGGTGGAGCCCATGACTAGGTGTTCAGGAATGAGACTCAAGTGCAATTTTGGTGTACAGTGTACATTACTAGGGTCAAACCCTGATCAATGCAGACCACCGATGTCGGTAACAATTCCACTTTTGTTTTGTTGTGTTAGAGACCTCTTTAGAACAAGAATCATTTTCCCTTTAAAGCGGGATGCCATTGAAGTTTTTTTTTATAGGATACAAGTAGCAGTACTGGTTTGTTTGGTTTCGTAAGACATGTTCAAAAGGAAAAAATAAACAGTTTTAAAAGACTTATAGTATGTCCTTTTTATAATAAATGGCCCTGGATTTAAATCCAAACTTAATGCCCTTTCACACTAAGAGCGATATCTATAAAGGTAACTATAGTGCACTGCAGTTATGTTGTCTGCCTCTAAAGGGTTAGTTCACTTCCAGAATAAAAATGTCCAGATAATTTACTTAACCCTATGTCATCCAAGATGTTCATGTCTTTCTTTCTTCAGTCGCAAAGAAATTAAGGTTTTTGAGGAAAACATTCCAGGATTTTTCTCCATATAATGGACTTCAATGGTGGCCAACGTGCTGAAGGTCCAAATTGCAGTGTCAATGCAGCTCCAAAGGGCTCTACACGATCCCAGCTAAGGATCAAGGGTGTTATCTAGCAAAACGATCTGTCATTTTCTTAAAAAAATAAAAATGTATAGTTGGATTGAACCAACTGAAAAATAGTGATCAGGTAATTGACCCTTCACAAAGACCCGCTGCCCTTAGTTACTGTTGCTATGTTCGACAAGCAATGGCATTCTCACACCACACATCATGTTCTCACGCAGTAAAAAATACATCGCAGAGCAAAGAGTAAACTGACAACACGCCGACAGACAAGACAGAGCAGGTTACTTTTGGTATGAAACAAAGTCTCAGCTTTCTAATTTTGTAATTTTTTAAGAAATTCAAACAACAAATACTGTTTTAATATGCTGGTTGAAAGTCTCTTCACATCCCCATAGCAATAATTAAGTTAAGTGGTCTACATGTATTCATCTGTATTTATATATTCTATGGAAGGCATAGGACCAAGAAATGTTCATCCAATCAAAACGCTCGGTCCGAGCGTTTTAATTGGCTTTCCTACCTGTCAACATAAGTATTTGCATATATCTGCGCACCCTGTTCGCGCAGACAGGATATGTCATCAGCATGTTCACGCACGCTGTGCAGATCATCGAAGGTCATCACTTTCATCGACTTGGCGGGCCACGAGAAGTACCTGAAGACCACCATATTTGGCATGACTGGTCACCTGCCGGATTTCTGCATGCTAATGGTGAGAGGGAGTAGGTGTGCCACAGGTGTATGCACTCGGCAGTTTCAAGTTTTATGAATTCTGTCTTTTTCTGTATCGCAAAGGTGGGAAGTAATGCAGGAATCATTGGCATGACTAAAGAGCACCTCGGTCTCGCTCTGGCCCTCAACGTTCCTGTTTTTGTAGTTGTAACAAAGATAGACATGTGTCCCGCTAACATCTTACAAGGTAATGTGACTAATTTTACTACAGAAGTTTAAAAAAAACTATAAAAAATAATTTTTTATATATAGAATAGAAATTTTGTAAGATACCAGGTGCCCACAAATTTTTGCAGATGTTGTGTTTTTTTATTTTAATGCTTTTGTTTTTACACATTTTATACTATAACCAATATGATAGTATAAATCAGCGGTTCCCAATCCCAGTCCTCGCTCTGCATATTTTGCATGTCTCGCTTAGTTAACACACCTGATTCAGATAACCAGCTTGTTAGAAAAGAGCAATGTGCATGAACTGTGTTCCGATCGATATGATCCCTATACAGTGTTCATTGCTCCCTACTCCCTGAGCAGGAGAAATCCTTTGAAGTTTACTTAACTTCTCATTCACGGATTTGCGCTGCGCAGCGTCTGGATGCGAGGGTGCGAGGACTGGAATTGGGAACCGCTGATGTAGCCTATTGTAATGTTGTCTCGGGTATTCTTGTCTGTGAGCGTGTATGGCAAGCCGTTTTAGCATTTAAAAGTTTGTTTTGACTATCCACAATTTAATAAAAGTTTAACTGGCATTGATGACATTTATTAGTGGGTTACATTACGTTGTGTATGGATTCAGGTTTACTTGTGTCGTTATGGCAGCTTGTTTCCACCATGGAATAAAAAATAAAAGTAATTTGCAGCTTTTTGTCTTACAATTCTGACTTTTTTTCTTCTCAGAATTGCGAGATATAACAAAATAACATTGTAAATATCTTCAATGCATATAATGACTAGTCATAATCACATTGTAGATATCTTAATTCCAATTACGACGAGTCAAAATTGCAGAATAGATATCTGGAATTGGAATTTTGACTAGTCAAAACTAAATTATGACTAGTACAGCAAGAAGTATTTAATGCTAAAACGGCTTGCCATAAGCGTATTGCGTTCAGGGGGCGTGCCTTTGGACAGCGATTGCAGGGAGGGTGGGACATTCGCTTTCAGTGCTATCAGGCTAAACCTCTTTACTAGTTATAGCAAGAAATAAACATGAACGAACATTAGAAGGTATCTTGTTTCAACCACAGATTATGTCAGTACACACCATTTTTCAAGTTCAAGTCCACCAATGTTAATCTACTCTCCTGTCTGGTTTGTTTGTTTGGACAAAATGGTATTGGATTCTGCGTTATGATTGGTCAGATAGGCTGTCAATCAAACTCCCGGCAAAAGGTCAATTTCTCAGAACTGCTTTCTGCATTACTGAGGTCTAAGGTTGAATTTCCAGCATTGCCAGACTTGAAGAAAGGTTGATTGTTTAATAGTAGATTGATTAGCCTATCCTTTTTTACTTTTCTGTAACTTCTGCTTTTCCCATAGAGATGCAGCATTTGAGCGTTTCATGATACTGAATGAAATAATTATTTGCCTTTTGTATGGCATATATAAAAATGTACGAAGACGTCTACAGATGACCGTTGATATGTTTTGAAGGGTGTGAATACTAGTGAGCAATTCCATTTAGGGTTTGGTCAAGTGTCTAGGTAATTTACAAACTTGACAAAAACAAGCTTTAGAAAACAATGACTCGTGTGAATTATTTCTGTTTTGTGGCAGGCTGCGCAATGTCATCTGGCCGTGAGTCTGTAGGGGATCTGATTCCCCCAGATATGCTGCAGGTGTTCCATGAGGAGTGGCAGGGTGGCAGGGGCAAACGGGGCAGGAGAAGGGCAGGATCCTTCAGCCGTGCTTTCAAGTGGTTGAAGAGCCAGCGCAGGAAAACCCGCCGACGCGCTACAGAGATTCATGGAGACCTGCTCGCCACTGGATCACCTGTAGAACTACCAAAATCTACACTTATAACAGGTAATACTTTTGCTAACATGTACTCCTAACAACAGTGTTTCCTTAGATGTCCATCATTCTTCAATGATGAAAGGGTTTTTGTTTACTAGTGGTCCTGTTTCTTTTTTCTTTCTTGCTTGAAAGACTTGTTTTTATATTAGCCACTAGTTATTAGAGCTGTCAAAATTGCTGAAAAACTAAATTCGAATTTTGTACTTTAATATTATCAAAATTCGAATTTAAAATGCATAATTTCAGTTAGGGTGAAGAAAAGCTTTTGGCTTCTCTCCTGAGGCCACAAGAGGGCGCATCATTCAAAGCATAAGATAACATGACTATATGCGAAAAAAAGTGCATAATGTTTAAAATAATGTTTATAAACCAATTATAATTAAGTTGCTTAAACAACTATAAACAAAACAGCATCATATATGTATGCATAGTTTAATACAAAGGGCGGAAAGCCAATCACACAGAGTACATTTTTCATTTAAAAACATGAGATGCAGTGGGATGGGGAAA